TTTTTCGTGGCCAACTGAAGGTGGAGTTCGACGCGGCCGCCAAACGAATTGATAAGCTACGCACGATGAGACGGAATGACTGGCGTGATAAAAAGTTGAAGGGATCGGCGAAGTTGACGCATGAGATAACCAGACTTCAGCAGCAATGGTGCCCCGCCGTGGTCGAGAAGACACCTGGCATTTTCTCTAGCAGCCCAGATGCGGCCTTGAATGCTGTGGTCGAGGCGCTGAAGGCTCAGTGGCAAACTACAATTCAACCACCCACTGCCGAAATACCAGACCGTGTGTTTCCCGAGAGCTGCCGCTGATGATATTCGAAATGCATCGCGAAATGTTTCAAGCTTTACGGCTTCCACGTTGACAGGGTTTCATCCGAGGCGTATTTCTCTCCTTGGGGACGATGGCGTGTCCGCCCTGAGTATTCTGTACGAGGCGGTGGAAAAGCTTGGCTTGTTCCCGAGGCATTTCATGTGGATGGTCTTTCCGCTCATCGATAAGCCAGCTGGTGGGCGTCATGCTATCTTGCTGCTGGCCAATTTCGTGACTGTGTGGAGGCGACTGCAGCGCCCGCAATTAGACTCCTTTTGTGCTTCTACTGGACGTGCACACTGGGCCTTCGGCGCGGGCAAGTGCGCTGAATCGTGTGTGTGTGTGTGTGGGCCCAGGTCGCAATGTCAGAGGTTGCATCGTCACGAGAGATCAAGTCTTTAAGGGGATCCAGCGGGATGGTAAGAAATACTACGAGTCGTTTGATTTGGGGCTCTTGAGGTCCCGAGCGTATCAGTGGGGGCATTCCAGGAGTCATTGTCAAAACGATGTTTAACCTCTGGCGTGCTCCTCGTTTGGTCAGATTGGGAATGTCCTTCCATCTCAATGCGCTGCTCGCTACCAGCGGCCTTCCAGCAGGCGGCATATCCAATGATGCTCTCGTCAAAGTGTATGCCATCGGTGCTTTCGACAGCTTCATGAGTAGGTGAAAGGACTCGTCTATTCGTCGTCCTCGTACGTCGATGACGACACGATCATGGCTGCAGGTGATAGGCATACCCTCCTTCGGGTAGTCCCTGATGCAGCAGCTGATTTTCACGATGTGTTCAAGCGAGAGCTTCAAGCCCAGATTTCGGAGCCTAAAGCTATCACGATTGCGAGCGCCCCGTCGTTGGCAGCAGCCTTAGCTACAGAGCGACGTCGTCGCGGTCTTCCTGCTGGCTCGGTTACCAACGCTTCGCTCAGCCTCGGGGTCGGCTTCGCTCCTGGACAGGCAAGGGGGGTACCTGAGGCGCTTCACAAACGACGCGAACGTTTTCGGGCTTTCAAATTTCGTCGCTCTTGAGTGCTTCGTTTTCGTAAATTGCCTAACCACGGAAAGCACCGCATGGGCATGATTCGTGCTGCTGGTTTGAAGCCAGCATTGGCATACGCCAGTGCAGTGCTGGGCATGTCAGATTCCGAACTTCAGCGAGCTCGTGCTCTTTTGAGTTTTCGTGCACCAGCTCACCGAGGAGCCTCTCTCGTGTCGAAGTGTGTGTTACATGGAGACCCGACGGCTGCTGCGAGCGTGGCACCTGCTATGCAGTGGGCGAGTGCTGTGTGGAAGGCGGCAATTGCACCGGAGCGCGCGCTTTTCACTGTGCAGGAGCTTGCGCGGATGCATGCGGTTGTTGATGGGACGTTTGATATGCGCTGCACGTGGAGAAGGTCAAATGGCCCACTTGCTCGTATGATGCTCTGCTTGCACCGTATCAGCTGGGAGTGCAAATAGGTGGTCGAGTGGATCGGCGATCGAGGAGCGGAGTTCTCACTCTCTTGTACACGTCCCCTACCATGATCAAGACTCTGCTGCGCGAGGGTGTGCAACGTAAGCATGAGCGTGACATGTACATGTTGGTCAGTGGCACGAGCGTGTATTGAGCAGCGTGTGTGCTGATCTCTTTCGTAGTTTTATTTGCACGAGTAAGAAGTTCACGCCTAGGCAGAAGTATGCTATAGCTTCATGTTCTACCAAGGCGGTGTTTCCGAATGATAGGCTCCGTAACGCCATGTACGATGTAGAGCCACACTGCCCGCTTTGTGGAGCACAGGATAGCCTGCATCACAGGCTCTGGTGCTGTCAGTGTCCAGAGGTTCGGGAGGCGAGGGAGGAAGCGGCCTCGGAGGAAGTGATTCGTGGGGCGGTCGAGGCAGGCCTGGAGGATCTACTCTGGGCTCGACTTGTCTTCGTTCACCCCTCCTGCATCCTCCCTCCCCCCGCCGACAGGCTCTATCCTGAGTTGTTCGATCCTGACGGGCAACCTTTGACACAATTGTCGGTTCTCGAGGGGGCTTCGGACGTCGTCGTCGATGGTTCGTGCACTCGCTCGTTGATTCGGGAGTTGTCAAGGGCTGACTATGCGGGAGTTGTCCTTGCCCCAAGCTCGGAGGTCGTGCCGCGTTTCCGTGGGCCATTTTGGCCCAGCCTGCCACAGATCCCCCAAGCAAGAGAACAGATGGCTGTGTGCGCTCTTGCCTCCCACATCCGCAATGTGATGAGCATGCGTTATGGTTGCTTGGGCGTGGTCCGTCCTCACAACCAGACCCCTCACAGCAATTGCGTGGCACGTCTAAGCACGCTGGCTTGAGGCGAGGCGTTTTGCAAAATGAAGATGCACATTATGTTGGCACGGCAAGGCACACTAATGCGCATCGCAGCGCTGAGGTCATTGATGCTTTGCCTGATGCTGAGCGTAGGATTGGTAATGCCAACTTCCTAGCTGACCAACACACACCCTCAGGATGACGCCGATGTATTGGCGGATGTTGAAGCCCTTGTTTGCAAGGCCCGAGCCGTGGCCCGCGTGATGGGGGCTGTGGTGCCCCAATTCCCCATCTGCCCAATTTCCCGAAAAGCAAAAGGTACAGAGGCCTCGGCAAACGGGTGCTGAGCGCTGGCACGCGTGGACGGCTGTACCTGGTGCGCCTGGTACGTTCATATGCCATGATTGCCACAACCGCGTGTGTCATGCGTCCGCCGCTCGCCTCGATATGTGCGGGTGTCCTGGGCGGCGGGCCAGTTTCAAGATTTTGAATGATGATGAGCATGGCCATGGCTTCGTCTATACACGACTGTCGTCAAGATCCTCTCTAGTGTTTTGTCGCCGCTGTGGAATGTGCAACACAAATCGCCGGAATGGACTTCTCGAGAAATGTTGCCGTGGCCGTGCCATGTCGTCCGCCTCTCGTTGCCGTCTCGGCCGCGTGCTCATCCGCAGTCGAATCGTGCTCCAGGCGTTGTGCTCCAAATCTTAAGTGAGGTGCACAGGGGGAGACTGCTGGTCTCCCAGCAGCCCCAGCAGCGCGCGGTCTACCTGCGCCCACCTGAGGTTGGACTGCTTCCAAGCTTGGAGGCCCTGAGGCAGCGGGTCGCCTTCCGTGAGGAAGATGCTCCAGCTTTTTAAATTGGATGTGTGTTGTATCGCCTGGGGGGGGGAAGAATAACCTCCCACTTCCCCCTCCCCCTCCCCCTCCTCCCCCCTCCCTCCTCCTCCCTCCTCTCTCCTCCCTCCTCCCTCCTCCCTCCTCCATCCTTCCTCCACCCTTATCCCTCCTCCCGCTTCCCTCCTCCTCGCCAAGTGGGCCCTTTCCCGAATCCGTGCTCCGTCGCCATCGACGTAATTGTCGTCGTAGTCGTAGTCGTAGTCGTCGTCGTCGTCGTCGTCGTCGTCGTCGTCGTCGACATCAACGCCCCGAAGTTATGAAGCCACTGGACTGCACAAGGCCGCCGCAAGATCTACGGATGCCCCGCGGCGGCGCGGCGCGCGTCGTCACAACCGCCGTCGTTGTCGCCGCCGCCTTCGACATGAGGTAGACGGAGAGTTCTATAGAGTTTGACTGGTCTTGAAAGGCTTCGCGGCGGGTACTGGGGGATGCGGGAAACCCACGGTCCCCGTTACCTTCGCTCCCCTCCTTTTCCTTCCAATCCCTCATCCCCCCTTCTTTCCCATACTCACCCTACTATCGCTGCTGCTGCTCCTGCTCCTCCTCCTCTGCATCTTTCCCTTCCTCTGCCGCTGCCTCCTTCAGCCCTCCCCCGCCCCTTCTCCCTCCGCTCCCCCCTGCGCGCGCAAACTCTACCACGAACGACGCTCAACCCCTCCCGCTCCTCGGAGGAAGCCCAGCCGAGGCATCGGCGGCCCCTTTCCCAACTCGGGCACACGCCAAACATGGACTCGGGAGCCGTGGACCTGGCGCGCGGGGGGGGGCGCCTGACCCACGGATCGGGGAATGCAGCCCCCGAGTCATGGCGCGGGAGATTTACGATCAATTGCACAAAGGACGACATGTGTTTTTTTGACGTTTGCGAGTAGGCACTTTGCGAGTATTGGAACGCGCTCGGTGACTCTCAGGGGCCGCCAAAAAGCCTCTCAGGGGCCGCCAAGAAGCCCCTCAGGGGTCGCCAAGAACCCCCTCAGGGCCGCCAAGATCCTTCTTCGGGGCCGCCAAGATCCTTCTTCGGGGCCGCCAAGAACCTTCTTGGGGGCCGCCAAGACGCTTCTTGGGGGCCGCCAAGGACTTTCTTGGGGGCTGCCAACTTCTTGGCGGCCGCCGAGAACCCTCTCAGAAATTCAATCTACCGAGAAAACACTTCGAACTTCCGCTGGGGAACGAATCGTTCAACCCCCCCCGCCTTGCGCCCTCCGCCAATCCTGGCACCCAGGTCCCCCGCTAGAGGCCTCCAAGATGAGGTCAGAGTAGATTGGGTCGGAGGATCGCGCCGCATCCCCGATGCGTCGCCGTGATGCGTCGCCGACGCTGGCGATGCATCGGCGATGTCGGCGTGGATAACATCGGGCTCCGCATCGAGCTGCATCTCCGATGCATCGGCGGTGCGACACGATCCTCCAACTACATCTACTCGGACTCCATCTGGGAGGCCTACTTCGACCTGCGCGTCTGCCCCCCGACGCCGACTCCGGAGCCCGCCCGACCGCGGAGAGAGGGAGAGGTCGGGACGCCGCGGCCGCCTGCAGCAGCATACCGCCGCTCTTGGGCTGCTCCTGAGGCGGGCAGCCCGGCAGGGTGGGGCTTCCACCGCGTGCCCCTCTGCCTCCTCCTCCTCCTCCTCCTCCTCCGCCTGCGCTTCTGCATCGCCCGCCTTCGCCCCCCCCCTCCCTCTCTCCTCGAGACTAGATCTTAACCGTGAAATTTGGCACTACGCTATGACACTACGCTAATTTCACGCCAACCGTAGCGTAGTGTCATAGCGTAGTGACACGCCCAGGTGTCCCCAACACTACGCTATGGCACTACGCTAAACGTAGCGTAGTGTCGCAGCGGAGTGTCACGCCCAGGTGTCCCCAACACTACGCTGCGACACTACGCTAACCGCAGCGCAAAATCCTCTGTCACGGAGCAAAGTCCAGCGAGGTAAAACTCTAAGGAAAAGCAAAACCAACCAACAACAAACAAACTCTTCCTGTTCCCTCCGCCTCAGCCCTTGCGTAGTGTCATAGCGTAGTGTCACGCCCAAGTGCCCCCCCCCAACACTACGCCATGACACTACGCTACCGGTTGCGCAGTGTCCTCTCTCACGGAGCAGAGCCAAACAGAACCCGAAGGACAAGCAAACGAAAAAAAAACTATATCTTCTCATATCGCTCAACCGTAGCGTAGTGTCATAGCGTAGTGTCACGCCCAAGTGCCCCCAACACTACGCCATGACACTACGCTAACCGTAGCGTAGTGTCCTCTCTCACGGAGCAGAGTCAAGCAGAACCCCAAGGAACAGCAAACGCACAAAAAACACGATTCCTTCTCCCCCGCCTCAACCGTAGCGTAATGTCATAGCGTAGTGTCAACCGCAAATGCCCTCAACACTACGCTATGACACTACGCTAACGGTTGCGTAGTGTCCTCTCTCACGGAGCAGAGTCAAGCAGAACCCGAAGGATGAGCACACGCACAAAAAACACGATTCCTTCTCCCCCGCCTCCACTGTAGCGTAGTGTCATAGCGTAGTGTCAACCGCAAGTGCCCTCAACACTAAGCTATGACACTACGCTAACCGTAGCGTAGTGTCATAGCGTAGTGACACGCCCAGGTGTCCCCAACACTACGCTATGACACTACGCTAACCGTAGCGTGCTGTCATAGCGTAGTGACACGCCCAGGTGCCCCCAACACTACGCTACGACAATACGCTAACGGTAGCGTAGTGTCACACCCAGGTGTCTTCAACACTACGCTATGACACTACAGTAACTTTACTTTCTTCACGGTTAAGACTTCAAACTCACGGTCAAGACTAACTCTTTCTCTCCTCAGCTGCCCCCTCCCCCCCGTCCGGGCGGTCAGGACACACCTGCGCGCGCGCGCGGGCGCCCAACCTTGCCCACGCCACGCTGTCGAACGTGGCACCAAATGCGCCACCGTGCCCCTGTGATGCGAAGTGGAATGTCCGCAATTCCTTTGCCTGATCCTTTACACCTCAGTCATCAATCCTGACCTGAGGGTTCTTTCAGGCACTGGGGCGCAACGAGTGTTCCAGCATGACACGTCTGGAACCAAAAAAGGCCCAACGAGAGGCCCAAGAGTGGGAACAAACCACCACATCGGACATTTGTCTGGGCCTGTAAAGACCAGGTGGGTGAGGCCATGGCCTCCTGTAGACATGCAGACATGCATAGGAACTGCGAGACATACATGATACACAGCACGCCTATTCGTGGGAGCCTGAACCGATAATTCGAGCCGTCCGTCCCCCAAAAAAAAACCGGGAGGCCCCAAGGGGCCCCCCCAAAGCCCCAAGAGGCCCCCAGGAGGCCACCAAGACGCCCCAAGGGGCCCCGAAACGGCTCCCAAGAAGGCTCCACGAAACCCCCGAGAGTCCTCCCGCGACATCCCAACGAACATCCCAGAGGACTACGACCCACGACCCAAGCACGGTGGTGGGATGGGCCGAAAAACATTAAACCTGGGCCGGCACGGAAACGGAAAGAGCGCCTCAGGAACTTGCCCGAGATGGCTCATGGCACCCTTCGCTCTTGGGAGCCTTGGTGTGAAGAGCTTGTCACGTCACCGCTCTCCATTGGGAGCCCTAGTGTTCAGAGGCTTTTGCGCTGCCGCTCGCTCTTGGGAGCCTTGGTGTGACGAACTTTTTGCGTCACCGCGCTCCGGGGAGCCTTGGTGTCAAGAGCTTGTTACGTCACCGCTTGCTGATGGTGGGAGCATTGGTGATCTTGAGCGTCTCGTGGGCCTCGTCGGCGTCTTCTTGGGCTCGTTTGGAACCCTTTGGGAGCCCTTTTGGGGCAATTTTGGGTTGTCTTAGGGCCCTTTTGGACCGTCTTGGAGGCCATTGGCCGTCTTGGGGCTCTCTTGGGAGCCTCTAGGGGCTCTCTTAGGAGCCTCTTTGGGCCCTCTTGGGGCTCTCTTGGGGCCATCTTTGGGCCCGGCCCTTTCGGGCCGTTTTGGGTCCCTCTGAGGCCGTCTTGGAGCCCTCTTGGGCCGTTTTCGGTGGCCTCTTGGGCCGTCTTGAGATGATATTTGGAGCCTCTTGGACTGTTGTGGACTGTTCTTGTCCCGAAAAAGCAAGAGCCCCCAAAACCTGCAAAAACAATTAAAAACACAGTGTTTTGCCCCTGGGGGCCCTCTCGGGTGCCCTCTGGAAGGCCTCAGCAGCCGTCTTGAAGCTCTCTTGGACCGTCTGGAGGCAATCTGAGGCTCTCTTGGGGCCGTCTTGGCGCCCTCTTGGGCCGTTAGGGGTCCTCTTGGACAATCTTGGAGCTCTTGGGCCGCGTCACTCGGAAAAATACGAGGAAACCGGCCATGGGAGCCGCTTCGAAAAAATACTAGGAAAACTTGCCATTACATCCGATCCGTGCCCGCCTCGCCCCTCCCCTGGACCCCTCCCTAGAGGGCTTCGCCCCACCAAATAACGTACATCACTCGTACCTCGCTCTTTCTGTTACCTGGGATGGCACGGGAACGGAAAAAGCGGACCAAAAACTTTCCCGAGATGGTTCACGGCACCCTTCGCTCTTGGGAGCCTTGGTGGTAAGAGCTTGTTACGTCACCGCTCGCTCGTGGGAGCCTTGGTGTGCAGAGGCTGTTGCGCTGCCGCTCGCACTTAGAAGCCTTGGTGTTGAGAGTTGTTTACGTCACCGTCCGCTCTTGGGAGCCTTGGTGTCACGAATTTGTCACGTCACCGTTCGCTGTTAAGAGCCTTGGTGTGAAGAGCTTTTAGCGTTACCGCTCGCTCTTCTATTTGGGGTCTCTGGGTCTTCTTGGTGGTCTTTTTGGAGCCCTTCTGGTGTCCTTGTGGGCCGTTTGGGGGCCCTTTTGGGCCGTCTTGACGCCTTGGACCGTCTTGGGGCTCTTCTCTTGGCGGCCTCTTGGGGCTCTCTCGGGAGCCTCTTGGGGGCCTCTTGGAGCTTTCCTGGGGCCGTTTGGGGGCCCTCTTGGGCCGTTTGAGGGCTCTCTTGGACCGTCTTGGGGCCCTCTTGGGCCGTCATGGGGCCCTCTTGGGGGTCGCTTGGGTCGTCTTGGGGCGATTGTTGGTGCCTCTTGGCCTGTCTTGGACCGTGTAACAACAGAAAGAAACTGATATGCTGAACATGTACGTTTTCCCAGAGAAGGAATTTGACGAATTTGACATCGGTGGGGTCCTCTTGGGGCCCTCTTGAACCGTCTTGGAGCCGTCTTAGGGTGTCCTGGGGGCCTCGTGGACCGTCTTGGAGCCAATTTAGGCGGTCTTGGGGCGCTCTCGGGCTGTCCTGGGGCGTCTAGGGGCTGTCTTGGCCCGTCTCTTCGGCGCTTCTTGGGTCGTCTTGGATGCCTCGCGGACCCCAAAAGGCCACTAGAGCCCGGGTTGGCGCGCCTCGCCCCTCCACTGGAACCCCTCACTTAAAGATTCGCGGCTTCGCCCCACCAAATAACGTACATCACTCGTACCTCACTCTTACCGTCACATGGGCCGGCACGGGAACGGAAAGAGCGCCTCAGGAACTGGCCTGAGATGGCTCATGGCACCCTTCGCTCTTGGGAGCCTTGGCGTTAAGAGCTTGTTGCGTCACCGCTTTCTATTGGGAGCCCTGGTGTTCAGAGACTTCTACGTTGCCGCTGGCTCTTGGGTGCCTTGCTATTCAGGGCCTTTCACGTCACCGCGCTCTGGGCTGCCTTGTTGCTCACAACTTGTTACGTCACTGTTCGCCGTTGGGAGCCACGGTGTTACTTGGCGTCTCTGGGGCTTATTGGGAGTCTTCTGGGGGCCCTCTTGAGGGCCGTTTTGGAACACTGGGGCCGTCTTCCAAGCACCCAGGCAGCCCAGTCCCCCACACCGCCTCTTCGGGCCCTCTTGGGACCCTCTTGGGGCTCTCCTGGGGCTCTCTTGGGACCCTCTTGAGCCGTCTTGGGGCCCTCTTGGGCCGTCTTGGGGCCAGCCCAGACCCCACACCCAAGCAGCCCATTCCCCACACTTCCTTTTCGGGCCCTCTTGAGAGCCTCTTGGGGTCCTCTTGGGGCTCTCTTGGGACCATCTTCGGGCCCTCTTGGGTCTTCTGGGGGCCCTCTTGGGCCGTCTGGGGGCCCTCTTGGACCGTTTTCGGCTCCGTTGGGGGGCATCTGGGGCCGTCTTGGGACGATCTGGAGGACCTCTTGGGCTGTCTTGGGCCCCTTTTGGCCAGAAAAAGCGAGAACCTGAACCATCTTCGAAAACCTACCGGAGACCAATGTTTTTGGCCTCCTGGGGCCCTGTCGGGGGCCCTCTGGAAGGCCTCTGGAGCCGTCTCGAGGCTCTCTTGGACCGTCTGGAGGCCATCTGAGGCTCTCTTGGGGCCGTCTTTAGGCCGTTTTGGCGCTCTCTTGGGACGTCTTGGGGCCCTTGAGCCGCTTCACTCGAAAAAACATGGAAACGGGTCATGGAAGGCGCCCGCGAGCCGCTTCATTCGAAAAACTGCCCCCAAGCGGTCATGAGATCTTGAGTGGCCCAAATGCGCCGGCTTCCCCCCCGGGCGCACCACTGTTTGTTTAGGCATCTTTTCTCTCCCGCTTCGATCTTGGGTGAACCACAAGAACCGATCGCTCTTTTATGTGGCGTCTCTGGGCCCTCTGAAAGGTCCTATTGGGGGTCTTTCTGGGGCCCTTCAAAGTCCCTTTTGAGCCGTCCTGGGGCCCTTTTGGACCGTCTTGGGGCCCTTTTGAGCCGTCTGGCGGCGTCTTGGAGGCCTTGGACCGTCTTGGGGCTCTCCCAGAAGCTTCCGGGGGCCCTCTTGGGAGCCTCTGGGGGCGCTCTTGAGCACCTCTTGGGCCGTCCTGGGGCCATCTTGGGCCCCTCTTGGGCCGTCTTGGGCCCGTCTTGGCCCGTCTCTGCGGAGGGAGGCCCAGTGTGAAACTATCCTAGAGCCTGTGTGGAACACGCCCGAGGTCTTTGTGGAACGGAGCTTTTGCGGAGCGGGCCCTGTGGAGCAGCCCTGCGGTTCAGTTGAACGAGCCCGAGGTCTAAGAGCTCCCTGGACATGCTCTTCAGAAGCTCTTGCGAAAGCCCTCGGAAGGCGCAAGCTAGCGCGCGTCAGCGCAGGTCAGCGCAGACCCGCGCAGGTCAGCGCGGGTCGCCCCAAGATCGCCCAAGAGGCCCCCAAGACGGCCTCTAAGACGGCCCAAGAGGCCCCCAAGACGGCCCCAAGCGACCCAAGACGGCCCAAGAGGCCTCCAAGACGCCCAAGATGATCTCCAAGACGGCCCTGAAGCGCCCGAAGAGGGCCCCAAGTCGGTTCAGAGAGGCCCCCAAGACGGCTTCTGACGGTGTCAGATGGGTCAGGAACGCCCTGAGACGGCCAAAGATGGCTCTAATATGGCCTAAGACGGCCCAAGAAGCTCCCAAGAAATCTCCAAGACGGCCTAAGAGGCCTCCAAGAGGGCCTCCAGGAAGGCCGGACGAGGCCAATTTCATTTTCCTTAGGTTTTTGAAAGATTTTGGCATTTGCTTCTTTTCAGCCTTCCGACGGCCCAAGACGGCCGGAGAGGCTCTGAAAGATCGCCCAAGAGGCCTCCAGGACGGCCCCAGAACGGCCCAAGAGGCCCTCAAAACCGGCCCCAAGAGGGCTCCCCGACGGCCCAAGTGGCCTCCAAGACGCCCAAGATGGCCTCCAAGACGGCCCTGAAGCACCCCAGGAGGGTTTCAAGTCGGCCCGGAGAGGCCCCCAAGACGGCTTCCGACTGCGTCAGACGGGCCAGGAATGCCCTGATACGGCCAAGGAGGCCCCCGAAAGCCCCCAAAGGCCCCCCAGAGGCTCAAGGAGGCCCCCCCTCCTCCTCCTCCTCCTCCTCCTCCTCTTCCTCCTCCTCCTCCTCCTCCTCCTCCTCCTCCTCCGCCTCCTCCTCCTCCTCCTCCTCCTCTTCCTCCTCCTCCTCCTCCTCCTCCTCCTCCACCTCCTCCTCCTCCTCCTCCTCCTCCTCCTCCTCCTCCTCCTCGCCTCCTCCTCCTCGCCTCCTCCTCTTCCTCCTCTTCCTCCTCCTCATCCTGTTCTTCCCCGCCATCCTCCCCCAAGTGTTCCCCGAAGGGTTTCCGCAACGGTTGGGGGAAAACATGGTCCGATAGCTTGGCAGAGCTCTTGCCACAACGCTCGGCCACGTGGGCGATTTCAAACGGCAGGGGGCGTCTTGACATAACAGAACTGATGAGGCGACGGGGGCAATCCTTCCCCCCGCTGACACCGAGAGGCCCGGGCAGAGAGCGAGGAACGGCAGCGCGAGCGACACGCACGCCGAGCCAACCCCCCCCCCCAGCTTCCCCCGTGTCCTTGGCGAGATCCACGGCCTCGCACTTCTTGGACTTGCGCTCTGCTGCGAACCTGGCCCCGCCGCTGCAAGCCCAGGTCGTCCCCATGGCGCCCACTCCCGCGCAAAACGGGCTGAGTCCAACGCCGCTGGGCGCTATTGGACGCCACTTGGCGCTGTTGAGCGCTATTGGGCGCGATTTGCCGATATACATTCAATCCAAGACAGAAGCTTATGTGATTTACTGTCTAAACCAGCATGCTGCAGCCCCGCAAAGCGATTCCTCCACATCGTCCCATCCCGTCCCCTTCCTCTCATGCTCCATCTGCAAGATCAATCATTCAACATCGAATGGGGAATTGGATCGGATCGGATCGGAACGTACGTCGGACTGGGCCGCATCGGCACGGCGCCGGAATCGAATCGCGCCAGAGCGCAAAACGACGCCACGCGAGCATCGGTACACATCGAACCATCAGAACATCGGATCTGATCGGGCCGGCCGAAATCGATATCGCGCCGGATCGATCGAATCAAATCCATCGCATCGAAATATTCCCTAGTTTGCTGCTAATGCTCTGCATTCGGCTGCCCTGCGACCAACCTTGCTGTCGCGCGCCATCACCCTTGCCATGTGCGGGTAGTGCTGCCTCTGGATTGCGGGACCCCCCCCCTACAAAAAATCCGAATGGAGTGTCCCGTGCAACATATTCATGCCGTGGCGACGTCGGGCCGTCGGCTCTGGCTTCTGCACAGCTTCTGACACCCCGTGATCTGTTCAGCTTTGAACGATCTCCGTCCCCGGAGGTCCCCAGAGGCTGTCAACCCACTTTCGTGCAGATTTACTGCCACAGGCTGTTTCTATAGGCATCGCGCCCCGCGGTGCGCGACACGCGGTTCCCTCCGCGCCTTCTCGGCGCCCCCTGGCGAAGGGCGGCCCTCTGGCCCAGACCGCGACGCGCGATCAGTTTCGCGCCCCCGTGGGCGCCAGAGTTGTTTTCTGTGAGCCCCAAACATCAAATCGCGAAATCGGATCGGAACGGCACGGGCATCGATTCGGGCGGGCTACGCCGGCTCGGAACCTGACCGGACAAGAACGGGAACCGCCGTTTTTGTCAACCTAGCGTGTCAGAGAACGTATGGTGGAGAACGCCAACGCCGACCCATGAAACATAGAGGTGCTGTGAAGCGTGTGTCTTTGTGGTGATTTTGGAGCCGTGCTGGTGTGAAGACTTTGATCGGACATACTGAAGTGTAGCCAAAAAGCCGTGCGATAATCAATGACTATTGCATATCTGGGCGTCCCTTGGGACCCTTTTGGGCCGTCTTGGGCCTCTCTCGGGGCGGGGTGCAGCTCGGAACCCTATAAGCAGAGAAAAGTGGATTCATAAGAACGGTGCACGCCAGAGGCGCTTCCCGTCATCTGCCGCCCTGGGCACATGATGGACTTCGCGTGCCGTCTAGGGGTCTTGGGACTCTTTTGCGGTGCCCCAAAACGAGCCAGAGGCACCAAAACGCCTCCGTGACCGTCCAAGAGGGCGACGAGTCGCCGAAATATCGTCCCAAAACGCCAGCGATGGCTTCCAGACGACGTCCAAAGCCTCCAAGACGACCCAAGGGGCCCCAAAGAGGCGCCCCACGCCAGCCCCAAAAAACAGAAATCGTCTCATTCCCTTCGTAAAACGTTTGTTTCAAACGTGTTGGCCTTTTGCGGTTTCGCAACGTCCGACGCGGGCCATGACGCCGTCCACATCCTCCCAGGACGGCCTCGGCAACTGCCGAGAGAAGTTTCAGAGGGCCCCAAGACGGCCCAAGAAGCGCCCAAAACGGCCCAAGAGGGCCTCCAGGCGGCTCCAAGAGGGAGCCCGGAGGGCAATTGTTTCGTCCTTTGGCTCCGAAGTTCCCCCAGCCTGCTGCACGAACCTTCCAGGAGGGTCCCAGGGAGCGCCAAGCGAGGCCAACAAGGCTCCCAACACGCCCCGATGAGGCCCACACGCTATCTCCAGGACGCCCCCGTGACGCCCCAAGACCAGACCCTGACTCCTCTTCCTCCTCCTCCTCCTCCTCCTCCTCCTCCTCCTTTTCTTCAACCCCCCTTCCGCCTCTCCCCCATTCCCCCTGCTGCTCCTCCTCCTCCTCCTCCTCCTCCTCCTCCTCTTCCTCCTCCTCCTCCTCCTCCTCCTCTTCCTCCTCGTCCTCCTCCTCCTCCTCTGTCATCGTCTTTGCGTTCCTTTTTTCATCGGTTTCGTCCTCCCTCTCGCTCGCACTCCCGCTGCTCCTACTTCTACGGGCCATGGCGCGGGCGCCCTACTGGTATCATTTGCACGCCTTGCATTTCAAGGCGCCCTTCTTCTCGTCGCGAGCGACGTTGCTCGCGTCCACGGAGAAAACCGACTTCGGCAATTTCCTCTGGCACGTGCCACTGCACTGAAAGGCCTGCCATCTGCGCGACGCGAACCCGTCGGCAATTCAATCTGCGTGTGCAACCTTACTCTTTCTCGTGAAGTGCTCGCTCTCCTGTTTGGCGCTTGTGTGATCCTGACGAGCGAGATGCTTCCTGCACGCTGCGCACATCAGCGGTCGCTTCAGCCGCTTCGACTCATCGGCCACACCCTTCGCGGTGATGCCCCGCTTCTGACATCGTTCTCACGCCACTCTTGCTCCGTTCTTCGTGTGGTGGTCTTGCAGTTGGTTGCGGTTCAAATTGCCGACCTCCCAGAAGGACACCCAGCAACCGGGCGCGCCGCACATCAGCGGCTCCGCTTCCGCCTCCGCTTTCCGTTTGCGATTCCCTTCTTCGTAACTTGTCCACAACACCGCTTTCTCCTTCTTCTCCGCGCACTTCCGACACAACCTCTCCACGGGCCCCTGTTGCGCCGTGTTTCTTCTGAGCTTCCGACATATCCGCCTTTTCGTCGTACAGCGACAAGCACTTGTCGTTCGAACATCGCAATGTGCCGACGCTCTCGTTCCACTTCGCACTGCCGCTCCACGAATTCTGCTCGGCTTTGACATAGCTGCACTTCGCGCAGTACCTCTGTCCGAATCCTTTTTTGCCTTCCCCTCGTCGGCGGGCTGCGTCCCGGCTCTGACCGCTGACATGCCGCGTCGCACCGTCATTCTCTGGAGCAACCTCCCGCTGCATCCTCTCACGAAAGCTGGAAAGTCAAGATCCAAGACGGGCTCGTCGGAGAGCGTCGGCACACCCCAGCTCCGGCGAACTCGAGTCAGGGCTTCACCGATGCTGGCGCCAACGTGTGCTTGCCCCACCGAAGCCTCTCGGTACGATGCAAGTGGTGCTGCGCGCTGTCGGTGGAGCTGGACGGGGTGAGCACACAATGGGGTCACACAGGCCTGGACCGAAACGTTGTTGTTCGTTGTTTGTCGTTTTGCTCCACCTGTTTTCCTGTACCTCCCTCCCGAAACGAAAAACCAAACACGGTCGAAGTCCAGCAAAACAGCGTTTAGGTCCAGCTCTGGGCTAACACGCTTCCTGAATACCATCGGACCTCTTGGGTCGGAGCGCGCTGGGGTCCGCACCAGAGCCCGACCATGAAATCCGCCCGGACCTCAGACGATGTGTTTACGGCCATCCTGGAGCGAGCAACATACGAACGCCTCGATCCTCGAACCTCACTCCCCTCATCCTTGCTCCTCCTCCTCTCGGGCCGGACGAAAGGGTGGTAGTGACAGCGGGGGCAGCGAATCAGCCCACGTAGCTTCTTGTCCCGACGCCATGGCGATGGCTCTCCTGGAAAGTCGGCTCGCCGGCTACGACGCATCCTAGCTGCATCATGCCTGTATGAGTGCGCTGAGCTCCTGCGCGTCCGCCGGGCCAGCAAGGCCAAAATCAGTCAGCCAGTCAACCGCCGACGCATCAAGGAGAGCGTCCGGCGGGGTCCGAGGCCAGCTGCGCGCACCAGGCTGCCCGACCCCCTCTCCCTGCCCCATCCTCTCGTCCGACCCACCCCCTGGCTGGCATGGGACGTAGAATGACATGCTTAGAAGAAGAACAAACGCCATAAACCGGACGCAGCGCGCCAGGCGCGGCGCCGGAGGCGCCGCCGGGGGGGCCCGGCGCGGATCCAAGAAATCCGCGCGGAGCGCCAAAAGTTTCTGTTTATGGCGTGCTTGTTTCTTCTTCGAGTACTTACTGCAGTCCTGTGTGCCCCTCTCGGAGGCGCACGCCCAGACCGAGCTTGTGTCACAACTAACTTATAGCAAGTCGTTGCCCAGGCGGCATGGCCAGAAAGCGCCCACCAACGAGCACATGCTAGAAGATTGCCGATCGCGCGCGCGTTTCCCCTGGGGGGCCGACGCACACATAGTGTAAGTAGAGGCCTCCAAGATGGGGTTCGAGTGATGGGGTCGGAGGATCGCTCCGCATCGCCGATGCATTGCCGATGCGTCGGCGATGCATCGGCGATGTCGGCGACGCATCAGGGAACGTCGGCGTGGAGGAAATCGGACTCCACATCGAGCCGCATCGCCGATGCATCGGCGATGCGGCGCGATCCTTCGACCCGATCTGCTCCGAAATCCTCTGCTTTGGTGATGCCGATGGCACGCAATCCCCCGAAGCCCCCCGACGGCGAACCGCGACACCAGGAGGCGGTCGTAGAGCGCCTCTGCGGTCGCCTCGCTCATGAGCTCGCCTGGCTCGCGGGACGGCGCCGGGGGGCCACCGGCAGGCCCGGGCCGCCCGCCGCTGGAGGGCGGAGGGGGGATGGAAGAGGTCCTCGTCGTCGTCGCCGTCTTCGTCGCCGTAATTGGCCGTCGCCGTCGCGGTCGCCGCCGCCGTCGCCGTCGCGGTCGCCGCCGCCGTCGCCGTCGCCGTCGCCGTCGCCGTCGCCGTCGCCGTGGTCGTCGTCGTCGTCGTCGTCGTCGTCGTCGTCGTCGTCGTCGTCGTCGTCGTCGTCGTCGTCGTTGTGGTGATCATGGAGCCGCTGCCATTGTGCCCTGTCCCAGCCGGAAGCCCCCGCCATCGGCCGCCCGTGGTGCCGGGCGGCCAAAGTCCACGGCGGCTGCGAGGCTCACCGCTCCCTCCCCTTTCCGTGGTGGGGGGGCGCAGGGCCACCTCGCGAGTTTGCAACGGTTTCCCTTTCATCGGGCGGAACAAAGGCACAATCTCGGGCGGTAGCGGGGCTGGGCTTGGTGGGTTATTGCGAAGCCTCGTGGCAAGAACATGAGCAATTAGGCTAGCGTGGCGCGCAATACTTCCGCGCAGCTGTCTTCCAGCTGTCAGCTGGGATGGCATCTCTATTCTCCATGGGAAAACCGCAATCGTCGCAGACGGCAGCGGCGTGCTTGCCGACTTCCCCAGGCCACGTCTGCCGAGGACGACCTCTCTTCCTAACGCCAGGTGGCTTTTTGAGAGGGCGCGGGGGACAGGGGCGGGGGGTGGAGGAGGAGGAGGAGGAGGAGGAGGAGGAGGAGGAGGAGGAGGAGGAGGAGGAGGAGGAGGAGGAGGAGGAGGAGGAGGAGGAGGAGGAGGGGGGGGGGGGGGGGGGGGGGAGGAGGGGGAGGAAGGCGGAGGGTCAAAAATACAGTCTCGGTGCCGTCCCGCGCGTCTTGCTATCTGTCAAAAAACACCATTGCCTCTGAAGCGAGACGCTGCTGAGCTTCATCCGCCCCGCCAGTTGCAGCACGCTGGCGGTGGTGACCCTGTTCAAATACGAGTGACCAGTGGCAAGAATGCGCCAGAGGCACCTCGCGTGGAACGCGTCCACCTTGGCCAACCAGGTGGTGTGGAGGCTGTGCAACACCTGCGTCTGCGCGCGCGCTTCGAACATAATCAGTTTCCTCCAGGTCGAAACCGTGGAGCGGGAACACACCTGCGACAATGCTTCGAACTCTGCCTTCGCCTGGCCCAGCCGTCGATTGAGCTGCGGCCCAGCTGAAAAGGTTTGCCGAAAGCACGCTGCCCAAGTGGACGAGGTGCTCCTTGCGGGGAATGCGACCGCCGTTTGGCTGAGAGACGTCTGCCTCGCACCTCGCGGCCAGAATCTCCAGCTTGCCCCAAGTGAAGACGAGGTCGTAGTTGGACCCAGCGGACTCTGCAAGGCCTCGGCCTGAGGCGCAGCTGCCCCGATCAACGCGTCGCCAGCGTAAGCGAGGTGGCTGATCTCCCCGCCAGCATCTCCCAGGCTCCGCCAGGCGTCGCCCAGGAGGACACTCGCGACCATGACGAGGAGGAACGGTGAGAGCGGGCAGCCTTGGCAGACGCCCGACCCCTGCGCCTGCCTGCAAGACGTCTGCCCCGCGTCTCCCACAGCAAGCATTCTGCGCCGAGCCCGCGATGTTGAGCGCCCGCTCTGGCAGCCCGAAGCGCTTCAGGGCCGCGAACATCGCGTCGGGCATGGCGCTATCGAAGGCCTTCGCCCAGTCGAGCGCCAGTAGCACGAGCTGCCCATCTTCGGTCGCCCAGAATTCTTCCAAGCGCCTCCTCGCTAGGAGAACGGCGCCACTTGCGCCGCTTCTCGACTTGGGCCCAAACTGCGAGAGCCGGAACGCTCGACGACGACGTTGGCGAAGAAGAGCTTGCGCCCGGCCCGCGGCAGACAAATCGGGCGATAATTCTCGAACTTGGGCGCGTCGCCATTCATGGGGGTGGTCGTGGCCCAGCAGTCGCGCCGCGCCTCGGGGGCCGATCCCTCTCGCCAGCACATCGCGCGATGCGAGCGCCCATCACTGCGACGCGGAGGCCGCCCTGCGCGCAACTTGCCAGCATTCGCCGGGCATCCCGCCAGCCCTGTCCGCGAGGAAAGACGGAGACCCCTCTGCCGAGAACGCGCGTCGGTTTCGCCTTGCGCGAGGGGCTCGCTCGCAACGGCGCGCGCGCCAAAGCGCGCTTCGTGGCCCGCGCTGCTCGGGCGCCCCCGGCATCTGCGCGCGACTGTCTCGGGGACTGGGGGCCATCCTGCAGGCGGACGCCGCCTGCGACGATTGGAAGCGACGAGGGCCGCTAAGAACCCCCCGCCCTCCGCCCAACGCTCCCCCCCCCCCCCCCGCGCAAATGATCGCCGCGCCCCCCGCCAGTTGCCGGCCCCTGTGAACTTCGCCGACCTCTGACCTCCGCCGGGCGACCCAAACCCGCGCAAATGTCTCTGGGCCCATTTCCACTGCATCATTGCAGCCTTCCGCTGCAGCAGAGCAAGCGCGCGGCAAACATCGTCCAAGAGGGCTCTTTTGCAATCCGCGCTGGCTAGAACATCCATGGCGAACTTGCGTTGAAAGTCGCAGAAAAAAAAAACGGGCTCGGGGAAGACCGCGTAAATCTTCGGGCGCACCTGGTTCCAAACCTGCTCTCAGAAACGCCGCGATCACTGTGGACGCCGCGCCCCGAACAGAACGCCCCCCCCCCCCCCCGCTGCCTGGCAAGCTCCCGCGGCAGCGAACGCGGCCGCCCAAAACTCGAACAACTTGACCCATGGCGCGCTGGAGCCGCGCGCAGCGGTCGAGCCGGGCGAGCGCGCGCACCATTGGAAGCTTTGCCCCTGGAAACTGCCCCGGGGCGCAAATGCGGAGCAAACTCGTCAGAACCCCCCGCCCCCGGATCCTGAAACCGCCCCCAACGTCGCCTCGCATGAACCAAGTCGGCGCTTGAAGCGCCATCAATGTCCACGCCGCGTCTGGAACGCGCCTGGGGACCTGCGAACTCGGCGGTCTTCGTGGCCGCGTGGGCGCGAGAGGCTCGAGCAAACTTGCGAATCTTAAATTATGCCTGCTCCCCTGCGCGACCCTCTGCATCTGGCGCCCCTCGCGCGTCTTCAACCCGCCCCCGCGTCGATGCTCGAGTCTGGCGCCGGCGAGACCGGCGCGGGGGCGGCTTCGCGACTGCGCAGCCGCTCAGCAACGCGCTTGGCAAGACCGCGACCGGAGCAAACCATGGCGCTATTGGTTGCAAGCTGGAGCCATTTCTCCTCCCACTGGTCAGCAATGATCGTGACTTTGGAGAACGGTCCGCCCGCGACAACTCTCGCCGATCCCGCGTTCTCGATAATGAAGTCGTCGACCAAAATCTTGTCGGCCGCAGCGAGCCGCGAGTCAGTTTAACGCTCGAGAATGAAAATTGTAAGACGACGTGCAAATCTACTGCCATTCCTGAATTCCTAGGCGATCGGCCGCGTCGCTTGGGGCGGCGTCAAACCGCGCCCCCCCCCCCCCCGCTGGGGCCGCGCCTAGCCGCGGCCCTGGAGCCATAACAACATGGGGAAAGCCGAGCCAAACGGCAGCAGTGACGAACTAGGGCCACTCAGTAGTGCCGTAACGTATCTTAGTATCACAAATTGCCTGCGGGATACCCATGCCTTTCTCACGATGGCAGGCTGCGTCGCACACTCGAACAAAGTTGCTTGCAAGGCTGAGTTGCCTGCCAATCCCGCGCCAAACTCCAAACGCGACAAATCGTGACCAATAAATCCTATGAGCCCGCCCCCTTTTCCGTTCTTATTGGCTTGGGGCTTGCCAGGCGCTCGCAGAAGCTCCCGCGGGCACGCGTGACTCTGCTCATCAAGTGACAGCGTCGCAAAGGCTCTGAATTGCCGACGGGCGCGAGAACGTCGACCCCCATGCCTGCTATGGGCTTCACCTTGCGCGCCGCTGTGGGGACTCACTTGGCTGTCACTCGGGTCGTTCATCAACCCGTGCTGCGTGGCGATCCGGATAAGACAAATCCTGCACCTCTTCTACTGACGTGGGCTCCTGCGCCTTCGCATTCATAACGCCAATCTGATATGCCGCAACTTTTCTTGAAACGGTGCCTCCTCCAAGTGAAGAGGGTGCTTCTTGATGCTGCTCAAAAAAGGCAGTGCTTGCCAGTGTCCAGAGTCCAGTCCTGAATCCTAGCAACAGAGCCTACGACTGTTTCCCTCTGGGCCCGCTTGAAAACCTTCTGGGCCCAAGAGTCCAAGCTATCTGGACTTCCTATATTAAAGATACTTCTGTCCCGAATCTAACGTTGCCAAAACTGACCACGACGGCTCCGCCGCGCGCAATGGGGGTAGGCGACGCGCTTGTGGCGGTGTCGTCCAACACCTTCGCAACTGCCGTGAACAAAATATAAATTTGCTTCTCTCCATTTCTCTTCTTTCCTGTGCCGAAAGGTCCTCTGAAACACCGCGTGCGCCCTCGCCCGCCAAGTGGTTGCAGCGGGAGCCTCGCGTTGCCTCAAAGCCTTTGCGCCCGCTGGGTAGATGATTATTGGCCTTGCGAACGCGACCGCGCTGACAACCTGGCAGATTCTCCCTCCGAGTCCCGATGCCGAACATGATGGCGCGCCATCGTCTTTTCTGCCACCCCCACCCAAGATGCAAACTTACTGCGGACTCTGAAGGTGCGTTCGCCTCCCGCTAGGAAGGCGCACGATTGCGAAGTGGCGCGCCACGCATCAGATCGAGCCTGGGGCACGCACTTCACTTGAGCCGTATGATGCTGTCTTTTGAAGGAGCCCACGGACGCGCAAATAAATGGACAAGGAACCGGATTCCCTATATTTTCCATATGTTCTTGGTTCTCGTCTTCCCCCCACTTCCTATAGTTTCCCATATTTTCTGGGGAGTCGACGATTAATTGTTGCTGTGTTTTTTTTCCCCCCCTCCGAGTCTTATGTTCTCACTGCTGTCTGATGTCCCGTTAGAGAGGGCCCAGAGGGGGC